CTCTCAGGACATTGGTTAATCCTGTGTCCTTTCGTATTACAGCCAGAACAAGTAAATTCGCGGCAAATAGTAGACATTTGAGATAATTCAGGTTCAACCATGGCTTCTGTAGAAGTTAGATCCAAAGATATATAATCACTACCACCGTTTCTTTCAACACCAATATTATCCTGAATCTCTTCTAACTTTCCTAGACTACCCTTGTGAGCAGTCTGCTTTTTATGTTTTATTCTTTTTCTTGCTTGCTTCTTATTTGCTTCTTCTAACTGGCGGCATCGATCGGAAAGAAAAAGATGGTGATAAAACAATCGGACTGTCATATTGTAATGGTGCTGAATCTCTCTTTTTGTAGGTGAAGAGAGATTATCGGATGAAAGTTCTAGGCCTAAATCGATGCAAGATTTAGATTTCTCTAGCCTTTTAAGTGTCTAGAGAGAATTGGAGTCGCTATCACTGCCGGAAGATGGTGGTCGATTTGGTAGTGGTTCAAGAGGTATTAAAGATTCAAGCTGAATATTTAACTTTTCTAACACATGATCCGGATTAAAAGGAACTAATCCAGTAGCTAAAAAGCTATTCCGAATAGTAGTCTCCTTAAAAGTGTCATATCGCACTCCAGGAAAGATATCCAGGAAATCTTCTTTTTCAATCGAATTGATGTTGAGTCTCATGTATTCCGCCACCTTGCCTCCGTATAAGCGTTTTAAAATCGCAAAACAGCTGTCAAACCCTAGGATCCGTCTAAGCTGCGCTAAGCCTGCTACCGTAGATAAGTTCAAGCACTGGGTGATCAACTGGTTGATCCTAAGTCCTGGATGGGTGATACTTAACCTGAGAGCCCGGTGGCTCTACTAACTGGAACGGGTATTGAGTGTCTCGGTAATCCCCCCTGAGGATCCTGAATGCAGCAAAGATAGAAGTAAGGCCAGGTCGGTACGTATACCTTCCTGTAATAGTGATAGGCGAATCTAATAGCAGTAACAAGTTACTATCAAAGAACGTAATTGTTATTGAACACGAGGAACTAAACAAGAACTATCTAACAGGTGGGCGAGCGAGTGTCCTTATATAGTTTTCCTTAAGTATACCATCCCGTATACCTTGTAGGTCTGCGGCATACCATCTGGTCTATAACATACCCGATAGTATATCGTATACTATATGGTACTGGTATACTATATCACGTGATCTATATTTCTTCCGTAACGTTATCAGTCTCGGGCCGCTGTCGTCCTATCGTTTCTGTCTCGCGGCTTCTAATGTTGCAAAAGTCCGTAACACCATTTTCCCTCTTTCAGGTTCTTTATCCCTTAAAGAACAGATAAGACAGCTATCCCCCGTTTTATCGCTGGTAAGTGTTCTCCTTCCTTTTCCTGACCCCTTTTCTTGACGTGCGTCATTATGCCCAAGCGTAATCGCTATAAGGAACGTTGCCAACAGGCTGACCGTATTATCCGTAACGGTATCCAGGTCGAACTTCTTTGTACCTAGTGCTTTTCCCGCGGTCTTCCCTGCTTCATAGATTCCAAAAATCGAAACTGTGCAGCCTGCACCCGTCGTGGCCGCAAATGCGAAAAACGATTTCATAGTAAACGAGAGTGGGATCGTCTGAAACGTAACGAGAATCGATTATCTTCCGAAATCGAACAAGCCGAAGAGCAAATAGAACAACTCTTCGCTAAACTGAAACGTTTGCGAAAGCATCGCAATTTCTTAAAAGAATGTAATAGAAAGATGTTAGATCATGATTCCCATATAATGGACGTGTTGGACGGAGAAGACCCTCCGTCTGCCGAAGATTTGCGCGAGCTGGATCGTTTGGCCAGTGAATACGAGACTGCCCAGCTTGCTGCTGTCTCTAGTGATCCTACATTGAGCCAGTTAATGAATGATCTCGTTTTTTGGTCGGCTTTCGATCCTTCTGCTACTGATGGTACCGTCGAACCGACTGGTGGCACCCCATCAGGTTCTCGATAGGTTTTCATGTATTTTCTGAGATATCATATCTTTCCCATTTTACCAGGTAGTGTGATCTTCCGCTGACTTTCTTGTAATCTAAGATTTTTTCAACTTCGTATTCCTGTTCCGTATCGTCTGCGATTTCCACATTTTCTGCGATTTGCGCGTTTGCTGGTGCTGGTTCCAATAATGAGACATGAAATACTGGATGTATCCTTTTCATCGATTTTAGTAGCTTCAAGCGATAGTTAACCGATCCAATTTTTTCTTCGATCGTAAATGGTCCAATCTTTTGGTAGTTGAGTTTCTGACTTGGTCGCTTGATTTTAATGTTTCTGCGGAGCAGGAACACTTTTTTCTCTCTTTTAAAGGTAAGTCTTTTTCCATAGTACTTATCGTAATATACTGCTGCTCTGAGATTGAAAAAATCGATATCCCTTGACATCTGTGCGTAAAGATATTTGAGCGTATTAAATGTCTCTTGAGCTTCTGTCGCAACTAGTGCCTTATTCCGTGGTTCTCCAGTTAACATAGGGTTGTAACCGTAATTTGCATAAAACGGTATAACTCCTGTAGTTGAATGTATCGCGTTATTGTATGCGAATGTTACCATTGGTAACAGTCCTGCCCAGTCGTCCTGCTGATAGTTCACGTAGTACCTAAGGTACTGTTCTATCGTCTGGTTCATCCTTTCTGTTTGACCGTTTCCTTGTGGATGATATGACGTTGTCAATGAGTGATTGATTCCCATTTAGTCGGTAAATGATTGCCAAAATTTCAATGTAAATAGTTTGTCTCTGTCCGAAGTGATTCGTTGTGGCATCCCGTATCGTATGATAATGTGTACTAATAGCAAATGTATCATATCTGTAACTTTTATCGTTGTCTTGCATGGTATCATGTATGCGTACTTTGTCAGTCTATCTGTGATGACTGCGATCATGTCCCATCCCTAAGATTTAGGTAAAGGTCCCACGAAATCTATCGTGATCCATTTCCAAGGTCTCGATGGTGCGTCTGGTGACTGCATTTTTCCGTAAGATTAATATCTTGCTAGTTTGTCCCTAATGCAAGTCTCGCATTTTTTCGTAATATAATCCTGTACTTTCCGTCTGACGTTTGGAAAGTAGTAATTCCTTGTGATCTGTTCGGTAGTCTTTTCGACTCCGAAATGTCCGTATATAGGGTTATCATGATGCATAGCAATAATCTCAGTTCTTATACACTCTGGTATGTAAATGAGTCTGTACATATACATTAACCCGTCCTCGTCAGTAGCGATCTTTTCATTTTCTGCTGAGTTTTCTGCAATTTGTTGAATTATGGCGTCTTCCTTGGTTGCCTTGATGATTTTGTTAACAATGTTATCACTGATTTCGATTGTTACCGAGATCGAATGTTATCTGTTGTACGAAAGTAAACCGTCTTTGTTTTGTTTCAATATTGCCGGCTCCACAATTCGATCCGTAATTTCGTAGTCTGGTCGTCGACTAAACGCGTCTGCTTGTCCGTTTTCTGTTCCTTTGCAATGTTCGATTCTAAAATCAAACTGTAATAACTTTTCTGACCATCTCGCTTGTCTTCTAGTCAATTCTTTGGTCGTGGTAAAGAACGTAAGATTCTTGTAATCCGTTTTCACTAGAATCTGGTGCTGAGCTCCTTCCAGGTACACTCTCCATACTTTGAATGCTGTCACTATGGCTAGCAATTCTTTGTCGTAAATGTCGTAATTCATTTCTGCCTGAATAAGTTTTCGTAAATGGAACGCAATTGGTTTGGCTCTACCGTTCTCATCTAGTTGTGTCATTCTTATACTGATAGCATAGTCGAATGCGTCGGTTTCGATCGTAATCAGCTTCTCTGGATCGTACTGTACTAGGATTGATGCGGTCGTGATTCTCCGTTTTACGTTATCGAAAACTTGCTGTGCCTGTATTATCTATTCAAACTTCTGATTCTGTTTTAACAAGTTGAATATCGGTATTATGGATTTGGCGTATTCATCGATAAACCTCCGATAATAGTTGATCAATCCGGTAAACTGTTGGACTTCTTTTAGGCTTTTGGGTACAGGCTAATCCCTGATTGCCTGGACTTTGCTTCTTTCCATGTATACTCTTTCGGTAGTGATCCAGTGTCCTAAGAACTCTGTCTTTTGGACATAGAACTCACACTTCTTGAGTTTCAATCGTAACTTAGCAATGCGTAGTTTCCGTAGCACTTGTTTTACGTGTCGAATGTGCTCTTCTTCGTTATTCGAAAATACCAGAATATCGTTTAGGTACGCGATGACAAAGGTATCGAGCAATTCTCCCAAAATTTCGTTAATAAATCGCTAGAATGATGCTGGCGCATTAATTAGCCCGAATGGCATAACTAAGTATTCGAAATGTCCGTATTTCGTTCTAAAAGCCGTTTTCCATTCTTCTCCTTTGGCGATTCTCAATCTGTTATATGCGTCAGTAATGTCGAACTTTGTAAACCATTTTGCTTCTCTGATTTTGTCTTGTATCTCTGCAATGAGCGGTAATAGATGTCTGTCCTTAATGGTTTGTTCGTTTAATGGTCAGTAATTAACGCACAATCGTAAGCTCCCATCCTTTTTTGGTGCGAACAGGACTCCGTATCCTGCAGGTAATGTCGATAGTCTGATATAGCCTTTTACAAGTTGTTTCTCAATGTATTGTCGCAAGATCTGAGACTCCTTTTCTGATATAGGGTAGATCTTTTTGCATGCGACTTTGTCTTCATCTTTAAGAGGAATCCGGTAGTCATGTTTTCCGTGTTCTGGTAGTTCAGGCTTCTCGGGTTGTTCGAATAGCTTCTGAAATCTTTCGTATTTGTCTGGTAACTGCTGTACTTCTTTGCTGGCCGCTAATTCTGTAGCATCGATCATTTGCCATGACTCGATCTGTTCGTGCAGTTCCGTATTGTATTCAGTAGTAGCTATCGTGTTAGCGTACTCTTGTCGTGTATCTGGTGCCTAACCAGAAAGTCGTACTAACCATTCCTTTCCCGTAGGTTTGGTTGCTGCCATAACTGCGACCGCAGTGTCCACCTGCTCGGCATTTTCAGTTAGCGTATTAGTAGATTCACCCCTTGATCTTTTAGCGTCAGTTCGGCTCGCTTGGCCCTGAGCATGCCGTTTGGCCTCAGATGCCTTCTTCATTTGGCCTTGTCGTGGGCATTCACATTTCGTGAATTGAAGACTCTCTGTTTTCCAATCAATCTCTGGGTTATGATCCCGAAGTCATGGGATCCCCAACACCACGTCATACTGTCCTAAAGGTGTCACGTCGAAACTTATATACTCAAAATAACCCTTTATAACCATGGGTACTGGTCCTAATTCGACTGTAAGGTATCCTTCCAATGGTTTACCGTTCAGTCCTGTGATAGGCTCTAGCGTAGCCTTTGTTATCCCTAAGATCTTCAGCTGTTCCTGAAATCTTAGATCTATGAAGTTGCCCGTTGCTCCAGAGTCTACCATGACTCGAGCGTTCTGGTTCAGAACTGTAGCTATCAATTTCAAATGCAATCCTTTTTGGGCTATTACTGATAAACTGTTTGCCTAACGGGGTCCTGCTAACCCTCGTGACTGTCGTGAGAAATGTTGTCCAAGCTTCGCGTTATAGTAAACTTAACAATAGTTTTCCTAACATCCTGTCCAATGTCTTCTCCCGTGGTCTGGGTGTATAGAGTATCCAATGCAAGCGCACTCTGGTTTCCTATATGAGTATCCTGTCCCTTCCTTGACTATATAACATTGTGAGATGTATTTCAGTGTTTCGTATATTGGGTCTTTGCATTCGTCGTCCTGACATGCAACCTATAGTAGGCAATGGTGCGTTACGTGTGTTATCTGATACAAGCATTCGTAATTCTCTTGTCGACATGCGTGTAAGGATCTGATGTAACCGGTTCGTTTGCTCATTTTCTGTAGAGCCTAATGATAATCGTAATTCTATCGGTCGCATATCCTGCATCTTGTAGTATATTCTGTTGCGCATTTCACTCTGTGTGTTGCCCAGTCCTCTCTCTGTGGGTTCCAACAGTCTAACTTCCAGTGCGGACATTGCGAGATAATGCGTCGCAGTTTCCCTGTAAATTTGGTTGGATCCTGTTTTAGGTCCTGGATTAACTTCTCTTTCTATTACTCGTTACTGATTTCTTTCAGTAGAGTGAAGACATGCTGATCGGCTTCGCTGTTTTCCCCTTTTTAATTAGAGGTTCTGTATTCCGCTTGATTATAATTAGAGGTATTCTTGATCACTTAATTATTTTCCGAGTCAGTGCTGCTAGCGTCCTCCTGACTGGGTATCTATTCGTGAAAGTTTTCGTCGGGTATTTCTGGTATTTCTGAGAGTGTCTCCGTGTTGGGATTACGGCCTTCCCATTGAGTCCCGTAATTTTCGTTCAGTGGGTCGAAATTTCCTAGCATTCGAATCCAGTTATTACCTAATGAATCTGGCTTTTTGCTGATAGCTTTGAGAGACCCATCCGTCTCGTCATTTATAGGCCAGTGTTCTGAGTCTTCGCTATCGGATATCTCTGGATCTTGAAACTGTCTTTCCTCCCAATTCTCGTCATAGCGTGTTACGTTCAGAAGCTTCTCGGTTATTTCACTGAACATCTGTAGAGAATTCGCTAATCTCCTTGTGGCCTCTTCCACGTTGTCGGGAATTCGTGGGTAGTCGTTTTCGTCTTGTAATTTTTAGACAATGCATGATTCTTCTGTTGGTCCTTGCGCGTCCGTTACGCCTAAAGGTTACTAACTCATGTCGTATGCGCCTCTCGCGGGCTGTACAATCTCGTTAATTTTTTGCGTTACTCTGAGCTCTTTAGTGCCGGACCTCCTCGGTATCTTACCGTTGGCTCCTTTTTTTGGTAATCTGCACTCTTTCGATCGGTACTCTGCTTTTCTACAGTTAAAGTATAACTGTTCTTTTCTTTGTTGATCGAGCTCTTCTTTTGACAATTGCTGTTACCGTCTTTCGGTAGCATCTAGTTCTATAGGCTGTAACCTATAAGGATTACTGTATCTTTGGCTTCTTGGTTGCGCTGTTCGTCTGTCGTTAGCTCGATAGCTATTTATTTTCTGATGTCCTTGGAATCGTATTCCGGACCGATTTTCTCTTCGTCGAGCATTAAAATCGTAAAGCTTGTTATCGATTTTGACTGCTTGCTCTATCATTTTGCTGAGTGAGTTTGATTTTTCTATCCAAATCAACTTCTTCTGGATTTCTGGTTTCAGTATTTCCTCGAACTTTGCGATATAAGAATCCTTATCCCAGTCTAGGTATAAGATAATCTGTTGAAAGTTTGATGCTAGTTTGCTGACCGATTCAGTTTGTCTGAGTCGCCACAGCTTTCTTTCGGCGTTTCTTGTCGCATCGATATCTCCGAACGTTCCTTGAAGTCATCTTTTGAAGTCATTATAGCTGGCGAATATCTCTTTTGTGTCGTCATCTTGTTTGTCGACAGGTTGTTCTTGATAATCCCTAATGTAGGGTTCAAACCAATCGAATGCTGGCCCCGTGAGGTAGGTTAACGCGAAAAAAACTTTATCTGCTTCGTGTGCTAACTTCTTATGATTCATTCGAAGGTATAAATCTAGCTGAGTCGTGAAAGCTCGTAGCTTGGATCTAGTTCCGTCAAAGGTCTCTGGCGGTCTGACCTTAATTGACTTTACTGCCAAACGCCCTTCTAGCGTCTGTATGTGGCCTTGGAGTTGACCAATTATCCCCATCAGTTCCTCCGTCGTGGGCGCTCTGGCACCACTGGAACCTGAGGTATTTCGAGATCTAACGTTACTCGAAGTGGTCGATATGGCTGCTCGAACTCGATTCGCACTGCACAGTGTTCAATGTGTCAAACTCTAGGATCCGTCTAAGCTGCGCTAAGCCTGCTACCGTAGATAAGTTCAAGCACTGGGTGATCAACTGGTTGATCCTAAGTCCTGGATGGGTGATACTTAACCTAAGAGCCCGGTAGCTCTACTAACTGGAACGGGTATTGAGTGTCTCGGTGATCCCCCCTGAGGATCCTGAATACAGCAAAGATAGAAGTAAGGCCAGGTCGGTACGTATACCTTCCTATAATAGTGATAGGCGAATCTAATAGCAGTAACAAGTTACTATTAAAGAACGTAATTGTTATTGAACACGAGGAACTAAACAAGAACTATCTAACAGGTGGGCGAGCGAGTGTCCTTATATAGTCTTCCTTAAGTATACCATCCCGTATACCTTGTAGGTCTGCGGTATACCATCTGGTCTACAACATACCCGATGGTATATCGTATACCATATGGTGCTGGCATACCATATTACGTGATCTATGTTTCCTCCGTAGCGTCATCAGCCTCGGGCCGCTGTCGTCCTATCGTTTCTGCCTCGCGGCTCCTAGTGTTGCAAGGGTCCGTAACAACAGCCTACATCAAGTGGCTGTAAAAGATGCGATGCATGAGGTGGCATACAAATAGGGATGATATCATTTTCAGAGCATAGCTGATTAAATTCCGGAGTAAGATGATTCCCATGACCATCTAGTACTAGAAAACAATGTTTTTCCTTTCTTAATCGTATATTTGGAATAAAATGTGTTTTTAACCAATTAAGAGAAATCTTATCGCTTGTCCAACCATTTTTCGAAACATTAACTCGCCAGTCAGCTTCGTTAGGTAGAAAATTGAACCAAC